CTTATTAGAAGGAAGAGTTGAGACCAGTGCTGTATTAGAGTATTATAGTACTTGAACTGTTTGTATTAAAGACGATAAAAAGTTTATGAAATGTAAGTTTAATATTAGAGTTTCGGGAAGTTTATTTTCTTTTCCTTTTTCTTTTTTTTTGCTTTTTCTTCATTGAAGATAATCTTAAAAAAGCCCATTTGTATGCATATAAACATATATGTACATATTAAGTTAGCCAAACTTCAATCTTCTAAAAACTTTAAAACCCTAGAGTATTTGATATATACTGAGATAATTTTATTTATATTTTATTATTATTGATGTTCTAAGCATTTTTATTTCAATAATTCAATGTCAGATGATTATTCAATACAGTATTTCACTTTTTCTTGAAAAACAAGGCCTTTTTTCAAAATGTGTTTAGAGCTTAAATTTAAAATTAATACTGTAATTCTTTTTCATCATTCTATTTGAAAGACAACATCATGAACTTACAATAAATCATTACTATTGTCTTTGAGAATATTTCAATACATTCATGTAACTGAAGTAAAGAAATATAATGAGATAAACCCTTATACATACTGAGTCCATGATTCACACCAACATTCTTTTGAAGGTCAAGCATTACAATCTAATAAGAAAAAATATATAATGTTTTGAATCTAATGAAACATAATTGTAAAATTATCATATTTATTAAATTAGTGTACAACTAAGAAAATAACTTAGTTAATTATACTAGTTACCATATTGATACTGTACCTCCAAATAGAATTGCCACCATAGCGGTTCCATCACTGAATTTAACTCAGAGTATAGCAATTTCCAACATAATCAAAGCATGGCTTTTAATGACCGCACAGGAGGGAACTTTTCAAGATTGAAACAAATACTGTAGGTAAGCTTCTCATTTTGTATGTCCACAAAGGGTCTTGTATAGGATTAATGAAGTTGTACATAGTTGAGAGATTAATTGAGATATTAAAAACTGGCAAGACAATGGAGGGAATCAAGCAAAAATCATTGAGGGTCAGCAGCTGAAAGGGTGAATTTATTAGAATGCTTTGAGAAAACATAAAATATTTTGAAAATGAATAAAATCAACCATAGCAAGCAATAAAAGCTCCTCCATTGTTCTGAAGAAACTAAAATTTCTCATTGGAAAGGCCATTTCTGTGGTCCTTCACAATAGCAATACATAATTTGACAGGAGACTCCCCAAAAATGCCAACCTTATACTATAACCACAATATAAGTGGTCAAATATCTAATAGTCCTAGAATTCTGATTCCACAAAAATCAAAACTAGATTCATACCATTTATATTGCTTCTCTAAAGACTAGATAGCTATATTCCAAGCCCTGATATTTTTCTAAGAACATATAGCATAAGTACTTATAATGTTGTGTCAATATAGCTTCTCGTCTTGATTTCTAAATCTTAATTCTGATTCTGAAATGTTGTCTTTGTAAACAAATTAGCATTTCTCTTCATTTCTCTAAGCTTAATATAACTAATTTTCCATTTGTTTAGTGATGATACCAATGGAATTCTTTAAAATGATTGTGGATATGTAAAGTAATGAGATTATTGCCAGTTCAATTCTTCTTTTACTTGAAGGTCATTTTGTTGGGCATTATATGAAATAATAAGAAATTAAGATTTATGAAGCACTTTACATGTTATATTATTTGATCCTCATAACAACCATGACTAGTTAGTGATATGAATTAGACACAACCTTCCAAAAACTTCACAATTAAAATCAATTTCAAAGTGTGCAATTGAATTATTTCACCCAAAGTGATTGAGGGTCCAACTGGCTGGAGGCTCAATAGCACACAGTAACAGAAGAGTTTGGCTATGCAAGGACTGAAACACATAAAATCACATCCAAGTAAACATCCATACATATAACTATGAGCTATGACTTAACCAGTCTTAAAAATCCTACATTAAAATAGTATCCAGCTCTGAAAAATAGTTTTCCAATATATTATTTAAAATTATTCTGATCCAAATCGAGGTGTCTATTTTAAGTCATGTGACTGTTATTTCCAGAGCAGATAGATGTCTGACTGAATGCTCAAGTGACATGATCTCCCAATTAGGGAAAAGAGTTTATGGACAATCTGTACATTTTCTTTTTGTGCAGCCATGCTATGATGTTCACCTTCTCTCCCTCTCTTCTCACCATGTAAAATCACACTTCATACCCTTCACTGTCAATGTTTATAAAATTTCAGGAAATTTAATTTGTTCTGTGTTTTGTATTATATTAGCTATATTAAATATATTAGTAAACTTAGTCATCTTTCACTTCATCTTGTCATCATTCGACTTAAACAAGTTTGATGAGATGGACGGAGAGAACTTGTGTAATTTACCAAACTACGATACTAGGCTGAAAACTTTACTAAAGTTTCCCCAATGAGTCAGTGCCCCAGACATGGTTAAGATTCCTATTTGATGCTTAACAAATGTATGTACTTGCTGATTACTATTTCTTAACAAACTAACTGAGGTACCAAATTCTTATGCTGTGCATCAATCTTGAGTTTCAGTCTTCACTTTCACAAAAGGGTGATACCAGAGACCCTTGTGCTATTGCTATTTGACCATGGACTGGAGATCTCTGAAATGGTGATGAGATGAAGGGAGGAAAGGACACAATGATGACAGTGCTGATGTTCTCCAGTATCCATCATCTTAACAATCATAGTGCTGATATTAAATGTTCTATCCATATGGCAAATGAGCATCTGCACACATGGTAGGCATGGAACACTTGGCCTTTGCAGGTATGATCAGAAGAGACTGTGGCATTATGTATAGAGAGCCAGCCTCAAAGCCAGGAAGACCTGTGTTCAAATCCCAACTATGACATATATTGACTGTGTGACTCTGAGCAAGTCACTTGACTTCCAATGTTCTGGGAAGCTCTATAAGAGCTTAAATTGTAAATTGCAGAGAAGCTGCTGACTTGCCTTAGTAGCAGTTTCCCTTACCTGAGACTATTGTATAACAGTAGACTCACAGGTCCAGACTTATCTGCATCAGAAAATCAGAGATTTAGAGCACAAAGTGATCTTATCTAGTGTAGACCAGTCACTTTACAAACAAGGAAACAGGTTCTGGAAGGTTAAATATTAGAATATAAGCTCTTCCTACTAGATCATGAGCCCTTTGAGTGCAGGGACTGTCTTTCTTTTGTATTTCTATGTCTAATACCTAACACAGTGCTTGGCACATAGTATATGTTTAATGAAAGCTTTTTATTCTTTCAAGTAAACGCATCTAAAATCATGCAAGCAGTAAGAAGTAGATCCAAAACTCAAAAAAAAAAAAATCAAGGAGAGGCTGGAAGGCCACATGTTGGGTATGTTATAGTAGAAATTCCTTTAATAATTGTGTTTGATGAGATGGCCTCTGGGTTCTCTTCCAACTCTCTGTTTCTGTAATTCTGTGAAATTTGGTCGTCTTTCAACTACCTAGATTGTAAGCTTAATTTGATAGGACACTTGAGGTCAAAATAGTTGGCATTTATAGAGTTCTTAGAGTATTAAAACACACTTTATATACATTATCTCATTTAAGCCTTACAACCACCCAATGGGGGAGTTACCACAGCCATTAATACCTCCCTTTTATGCAATAGCAAACTGAGGCTCAGAGAGGTCAAATAGCTTGCCCATGGTCACACAGCTGGTAAATATCAAAGGTGGGTTTTGAACCTAGAACTTCCTACCTCTAAAGCCAGACTTTTTATCTAGGGTGTTGGCTGCTGTGAGATTAACTCAGTATCCAGTTGAACCAAATGTGATAAAAGCTTCTTTGTTGTTCTGAAGTGTCTGGATATCTTTAAAAAAAAAAAGGCTTCCTATCTAATCAGTTAATAAAATCAACAAGTACTTTTTAAGTGCCTACAGCATGTTAGATGCTATAGAGGATTCAAAAGAGATCTGAGAAACAGTTTCTGACAGAAGTAAAGTAGTCTTCAAAATTGGCATAAATTGAATCACAAACATATGCGTAGACCTTGAACAAATGAGTTATGAGTCTTTAGGAGAGTAGAATGAATACGTAACCATGCTTTTTCAAGTCTGCATCTTCTTTTGTTTAAGTAATAGAAGGAGAGTGTTCCTATAGTCAACATGCTTATTGATGTTCATAATGATTGTTTTTTTTAAAAAGAAGATATTATCTTCAAGGGGCAACCTTTCCCCAAAATTTCAATAATTTGCTACTTTAGAAGGGGGAAAAGGTTAAAAAGGAATGCATTTCAACACATGTAATTTAAAGGAAGAAAAGTAAATTTTCAAATTAGATTTTTCATGCATCTGATTTGGACATAACACAAAGCTCTATTGAAAAATTGACTTTTTTTTTCACTAATGATCCTATTCTCAGCAATAGCCTAAGCTGGTACATGTGTATGCACACATGCACACAAACACACACTACTAGAAAATGGGCAAGAGTCACAAATAGCTACTGTGAGGAATAAATGATTTAATAAAGAATGTCTTAGAATAGCAAATGCTCCTTGCTTGAAGCAATTTCTGGAGATAAATGAAAGGATTTAGTGTATGTGTTCATGCGTGTATGCATGTGCATATTTGTATGATGTGTTATTAGCCAGGTTTATTCTTTCTCTGTAGTTGTCCTGATAGTCAGCTAATTAACAGAATAACAAATTTGAAACTAACTTGTTCTACGTAATCATTTTTAATGAGCATTTAGAGTACATCTTTCAGACAAAACTTAGGATACTTATCTTAAGTTACTAATATGTGTGTCAAGTCCTGTGTGATTCAGATTTCATTCATTTCTAGACTGACATTCAATAGTGTTGTAAACTCTGCATATTGTCCAGCTTATTGTCATGTGAATTATTTCTATATTTCATTTAACTGGAAGATCATTAACATTGAAGTCTTAATCCATTCAGTTCTTAAAAGGTGTTCCACATCTTTTAATGGACTTCCATTGTGTGTTTTTACAGCAAGCTTAGTAGTGGAAGAGCGAACAAGACAGATGAAAATGAAAGTACATCGCTATAAGCAGACAACAGGGTCTGGTTCTAGCCAAGAACTTGATCGCGAGCAATATTCCAAGGTAAAATAGCAGCAATAAAAACGTAATTTTCCCACTTAGAAATGCAATATTCATAGTGGGTGGAGGGACACATATTTGATTGCCAGTTTTTAAAGTAATTATGGTTTTATAAATTATCTTTTTTTTATATCATTCTTGCAACAAACCTTTTGATGGCTACTGCTTCCTTGTATTTCAACAAAACACAAATGCTTTTGTGCAAAGCAAGACCAGACATTAATAACTGGGATCCAAAATTGTGCAGTATTTGAGAAACACTAAACTACTTTTAAAATGCTTTAGGCAAATTCATGTAAATAAACAATAATTGTGAAAATAGTTTACTAGCTTTTCATATTAAAATACCAAACAACAAAAACATAAGGTATATACAGAAATTTAAAAAGTAGGCTTTTGATATATGTATATATATATATATATATATATATATATATATATATATATGTTTGTTAATCAATGACCAAATATTGCTCTTTGTACCTCAAATTTGTCATTGACTTATGCCTATAGTAATACTGTTTTAAATTTTAAAGAAGTCACACAATTCTAAATTAGAATAATTTGTCTTTAGCAAGTAGCATTTATATTCTAATAGTATTTTAAAGGAAATCCTAAAAAAGTTTAATTGTAGGTAATTGCTAATTGTCTTATCAAAAGCATACTTATTCAAGCACTTTTTTCAAATTAATTTCAATGATATATCATAGAAAATACAGTCATGGTTATAGAGCTATTTGGGGGCCAATTCATTATCCAAAGCAGCACATTAGAAACAGAGGACCATAAGAAATGCAAGGTTCACATGACCAACCCCTTCATTAGTTTCTTTCTGTAATATCTACCGGAACTGAAATATGACTTTAGATAGTGCAGATTTTCAGTCCTGTAACCATCTATTTAGAGCCTGCTACAGAGAAAACAAAGGTATTTGAGAATTGTATTTAATTGAACGCCCATTGGGAGGCTGAGTTACTAGTCCTAGTAAACAGACTAAACAATTATCTAAAGTCACACTCACACCACTTCCAACCTAGAGTGTATTCAAGGAGTCATGCTGCCGTAGATAACTGGCGATATTTCTGTGCAGTGCTACTCAAATTCCTAAGAATCTTAACAACCTTCAGAAAAGATTGAATTGCAAAGGCAGGTCAATAAGCAACATTCTTTGATGCTTTAAACTACTGACCCTGGGTCTAGCTGCTCTTCTTAATTCCTCTTCTGATGACTCCTTCAAGACACTATCTCTTCCTTTGCTCATTTAACTTCTTTTTTTTTTCAACTGCTGATGTAATTTCCCCTTGGTCTTACTCCAAATACATCCTAGTAGAAGGCAGAAGGGAAAGGGAGTTGAGTTCTTTCTCATCCTTTGGGACCAAATACAAACCTCAAGGATCGTAAGATCAAGTGAACATGTAAGAAAATAACTTTAGGGGAGGAATCTTGCTCTTTTTATGCTACTGCTTTGCAATAGGGTTGCACTAGTGTTGCCAAGAAGAAGGGGAAAAAGGAAGTAAGGAGTCAAGCAAAGAGGTGTGCTTTGGACAATGTTTTCCAGTTCTTCCTGAGTTGTCTTTTCCGACAAATAAATAGTCATATGCATGGTGAATGATATTCTGAAATCCTGAAACATTATGCTTGCTGCTTTTCAAATGTAGATGAAAAGGCATATGTCAAAAGTCAAACAAATGATTTTTTTTAAACCTACTATCTGGACTGTCTGGGGTCTTGATCCATTAGAACAAAATATGACCAGATTTCAAAATTTGGGGATATCAAAATGTCACATAGTTTGGAAAGGATCAGTTAGGTCCACATGTGATGGATGAGAAATCTAAGGTAAAGAGATTAGATGATTGGTCAAATTCACTTACATGGTTGGTCAAAGAAATGGGAGTAGAAATCATATATTTTGACTAATTGGCCAATTCCTTTTTCACTGTTCCACATTAATGGATTGTTGTAGGCTGTAAGAGCACTGGACCTGGAGCCAGCAAGACCTGATTTTAGATCCAGCCTCAGATACTTACTAGCTGTGTGACCCTTAGTAAGTGTTTTAACCTCTACCAGTCTGTTTCCTCAAATGTAAAATGAGGCAAATAATAGCACCTACTTCCCAAGGTTGTTGTGAAGCTCAAATGAAATATTTGTAAAGCACTTAGCACAATGCCTAGAACATAGTAAGCACTTAATAAATGCCTATTACTTCTTTTTTCTTGTATTCCCATAAATGCACCCTGAATGGAATATTCTGGCATGTATTAAAATTAACATTACCTTATTTCAGGCATACTAATTTAGTACTCTTTAACTGATTTAAAACATTTTTTCAAACCATATTACTTCCAATTATATTAATACCATTCTTAAAAAGCATCTTATGATATGAATTATTATACTATTTGAGTGGAATCAGTTGTGTGATCTAACTTGCCATTTAAATTTTCCAGGACTCAATTTTCTCCTTTGAGTAACTGTGGAGGGTGTCATGTTCCCTTTGAACTCTAACAACCTATGAATTCATGACTCATTAGCTTAATATAATAAAAAATTGACAACTCAACATAATTTTAAGACCAGTACATTTTTAAAAAGTAAATTTAATTCATACAGCTTATGTTTAGTTTCCATGCCATAATAGAATTTCAATGACGGAAGGGACTCTACAGGCAATTAGTTCATACCTTACCCAATGCATGAATCTCTTCTGCAATATTTCTCAATACTGTTCAGACAGCCTCCACCTAAAATTACCTGTAGTAGTGGGGAATTCACTCTTTCTCAAGGCAACTCTTTTTTTGTACATGTCTCTTAGAAAGTTCTTTATTATACTGTTTTGAAAAACTGTCTCCCTGTAACTTCTACCCATTTGGTCCTAGTTTTTCCTTCTGGCAAAAAAAAAAAATGATCTACTTAACTGAAGCTTACCCATATAAGAGCCATTCAAAACATGTGATGATAGCTATTATGGTCCTGCCCAAGACTTCTCTATTCTAGGCTGAATATCCCCAGGTTTTTCACCAATTCTTATATGACTCAATTTCATGATCCTTCAACATTCTACTCATATTTCCCTGCAGTTACTCTGGCTTTTCAATGTGCTTCTTAAATGTGATACATGAAAATGAGCATCACCCTCTGACAGAATGTAAGCTCTAAGAGGGCAGGGACTATTTCATTTTTGGCTTTGTATCCCATTCCCAGTACAGAACCTAGTATATAGCTTAGGACTTAGAAAACACTTATGGAATTGAATTGACACTCTGTGTTCTAACTAAAGTAGAGTGAATCAAGACTATCTTTTTCCTTGCTTTGGATGTTCTACCTTATATTAATGCCTCAGAGATCATGTAACTTTTTTTTTCATGTTATATTATTGAATGACAGTAAATTTATAGTTAATGTAAATTCATAGGACATTTTTGACGAAACTATACTTCTCCCATTTTTGACAAAGCTATATTTGTTTATGTATTTTTTTAACCCAATTGTAGAACTTTTCACTTATCCATGTTAGATTCCATCTTATTGGCTTCAGACTTCCTATTATTCAAGCTTCATCAATATCTTTTTTTTTAATCCAAATACTGACATCTAACATTAGTTGTCAGTCCTAGGTTTTTGTCATTTATTAATATGTTATTATCCCTACTTTTGAAGTTGTCAGTTATGTTGAACAGAGGCTGACCAAGGAAAGAGCCCTAAGACAACCTACTAGAGAAGCTAGATATTTTTTGATCTAGTCAGTCAATCTAAATTTTGGCTAACTGTGTGATCATCTGGTCTACATTATCCATCTTGTCTACTAAAATATCAAATATCTTACAGAAATATAGGAACATCATTTATTTGCTACTCTATAGGTCTCTCAGGACTTACTATTGTACTTCAATGGATTCATCTCCAATAGGGGCCACTCTCCTCTCATATCAAACACGTACTATTCATATTGCCTTGCCCTATGTGATTCTCATCTGTGCCCTTCCATAATTTTACCAGAGGAACTACCCAACATGGGTGAACTCATTTTTTTAAATTTTTTAATTAATATAAGTGAATTCATTTTAAGAAATATTTCATGCATACCAATGTAATTTTTGGTCTGTCCGTATATCATTCCCTTCTCCTACTAGTCCACACAGACTTCTCATTCATATTTTTCAAGAGGTTCATTTACTCACTTGCTGCATATGAGAATGCTGAAGTCTACTTATGTCCAACATGCATCCTTCTATTTCCCTTTTGCTTGCCTGCAATTTAGCTGCATCTGTTTTTTACATTTTCTGATTTCATTTATAGTATGAATGCCAATGAAGGTGTATTGCTATTCTTCTAGTTAGGATACCAGCTCACTTGTCAAATAAAGTGTGTATATTTAGTGAACAGCGAAATTCCTATTTGTTGATAGTACAATGACTTTTGTCATTCTTATCACCCTCTGCCACTCTACAACTGTTGATTGTAGAAAAATAAGAGAGCTACATCTGCCTGGGTGCAATTTTGTACTTTTCTTTTTTTCATGCATTGACATTGCCAAAGAATTCATCCCTTTGCAGCCAACATGCTAATGAGGAGCCTTTCCATGCTTAGCTTAAGCTGACATGGTCTGTCACTGGAACCATACTAAATGCTTTGCTTTCCCAGTATCAAAGCCTGCTTTTCTTGCATTGCACTGACCTTCAAGAGCTAACAATTAACAGCACAATGAGGCACTAGAGTAAAACTTTTGTGGAAAACCCTTCTAATAACCCTTTCAAAAAAATGAGATCAGCCAAGCATGATTTGCTCCTAAGGAGCCCATTCTGAATTGTAGGGTTTTTTAGTTTGTTAATGAAAAGAAAAAGTTATATAGAAATTCTTATACAGAACAGTAATTGTTGTATCTAGATATTTGAAGTAAGGGTTTTTTTCTTTGGTAGTTTTGTAGTTTTGCTAGTGACATAAAGGATTTTGGCTTAACTTTTATAAATATTTTTCATTACACATGTTACATCACATGACAG